CACAGTGAGGGAGCCGGGACAGCTTTCGCGAACGGATGAACTGAGCACTCGATGCATCACTGCATTGACGAAGTTCTTCTCGCGTGTGAAGTCCCGCTGTGTTGCCGCTGATCTTCTTGGATCTGCTCAGGTCTGGCGGGCAGTAGGTGGAGACGAGCTCTGGCGGGCAGCGAGTAGTGTGGCGCTCTGGTGGAAAGTGAGTGGTGTCGAACTCTGGCGGGTAGTGGGGTTGTCGAGTGCTGGCGTGTAATGGGATGTCGTAAGTGTTGCCGTAGTGGAGATACTGAGCTACAAGTCGATTGCTACCAGGCCTCTATCCAGATATGATACTAGCATTGATGAGTATATCTTAGCTGCCCTGATTCTACTGTTGATGGTGGCGGCCGTCACTGCAGTGTAGGAAGTGACCTTGGACGTGCATGACTCCTGTTGGCGCGATTGGTGCGGTAGGGCGATGTGGTAGCCGTCAAGTTGACCCCACATGATCTCATCGGCAGGCTGGATGGGACACCATACCCCGAACAGAGCCGACCCAGTAGAGCTGTGTATAAGCTTTCACGATGAAAGCCCTGTCGGGTATGAACTCTGACCGAGCATATTCACCGTACCAGCTGCTACTCGGAATGGTGAGCTAATGTCGGCGGCGGCGACATGCCTGGTCTCTGATGCGTGGGACCGGGTGTGTTACACCGGCTGAAAGAGGCTCAACATAATCAACGTCGGTCGACGAGTCGTGTTTGCGTGAGGAACGACGATAGGTTGGTGAGTTCTCCAGCAATTCGTGGCCAATTGCAGAATGAGCTGCCCCATTCGAGTGGTGCGACAGCAAAACGCAGCGACCGAAACGGGAGAGTCCACTCTCCGCATGAATGTCGATGGCAGAGGAGACGGAGCTGCAGGACCGTGAATGCCTCTTTTCGATGCTGTTGAGCGGTCCAATTGACCATGAACCGTCGTGGGTCGAAGCAATCGGATGGCCTTTGTGGTGTGTGGGGCTTACACTCCATGCCTTCAATACTGCGTGAGTACTTCTACCCGCGCAATCGTAATGCTGTTTAAGCAGATACAGTCCTAAGAAAAGAGCGGTACAGATGCCCCAAGCAGCCGAACTTGCTCATGTAGCGAAACGTCGTGTGCTATGATTGGCTAGGCAGCTTCAATTTTGCAAAGGTTTGCGTACCACACCAACTATTACGTTACAATCCAAAAATGGATAATTTGATATTATCTATCACATCCAAATAATCTG